TGTCCTGGCAGTAAGATCTGTACAAATCTTCTTACAGAGGCTGTGTTCTCCTTCTTCAGAGGATTTTAAGAAGAGGCTGAACAGCCACCTCTGGAGGATGGTTTAACTTGTTTTTCTGGACATGGCAGAAGGTTGGACAGATGATCCTGGTGGTCTCTTCCAACTCTACTATTCTATGATTCTGTGGTCCTAATTCGGGTTCTTGATATTCTCTATGAGCTGGTCCTTCTCTGGGTTCCTTGTGACACCTATTTAATTTTCACCCGGGATTCAGCATGGAGAAGGTAGAATGTTTGTAAACATTCCATGACCTCTTCATAAGCTCCACCCATCCCCAAGCAAACTTGCAGAAAGGCAACCTCTCATTTTGTTGAAAAAATATCTACAAGCTGAATTCTGATCCAGTATGTGCAACGGGCACCTTTTTGTTTCCTTCTGCACTCGGATATTTGGCAACTGCTACTGAGGCTGTCCCCAGTTTGGCCCTTTCCCGATGTGTGGGATTACAACCCCTATCCCCACCAGTAACACACAGCATAGGATAATGGGATTGTAGTCCAGCACATCTAGAAGGTGCCACCTTGGAAACATCTGTCTCACTGCCTGAGACTTTTGAAAGGGACCTATTTTTCTTTATTGTCCTCCTCCTTCCTCTTCCCCCACCCAGATTTTCATTCTCCAACCCCCAGGAGTAAACTTCCTTGGGACAGAATCTCAATATTTTTCCCCAGCTCGATGGTTTCCAATTGCTGAAGTTGCACAGGACCCCCAGCTTGAAAAATGGGAGAAACTCTTGCCTAGCGCTGAATACAGTGGAGAGCAGGGCCTCAGCCCCAAACCCACCTTTGAGGGGCAATAGGTGAAATTGTTTTTGATGAGGAAGTCCCTGAGACGCCAAGGAACCCACGAGTCCTCCAAGCAAACTGTTACAGAAATATTCAGTGAGAACTCAAAGGTCATCTAGTCTAGCTCTTTGGCAAGGTCAGTGGTCTGCTACTACAGGTTTCCTAAGACAGGGTTCCTCGACCTTGGCAACTTTAAGACGGGTGGACTTCAACTTCCAGAATTCCCCAGCCAAGGTTAAGAAACATTGCTCCAGGGGAAATGGGTGTGAGATTGATGTATTTTACCACTGATTTGGCATAGGTAACAAAGGGCTATAGCAGTGTTTCTCAACCCTGAGAACTTTAAGATAGGTGGCCTTCAACTCCCAGAATTCCCCAGGCACCCAAGTTCCCATGGTCGAGGAACCCTATCCTAAGAGATAGAATCGTGAACTGTATTTGTGTCCGTAGCTCATAGGTTTTACTTGATGGCCATTCTGAGCTTAGATTAATGGGACAGGTGAGGACCACAAATTCTTGTTCTTAAGGACTGGAATATTTGTCTATAATAGCGAGAAATGGAGAAATTAACCCATTTCTCTGTATTGCTTTTTTGCTACCTACTGCAGAAGGACCACCAATACCCCAGCGTGATGTCTTCTCCTGGCTGGAAGAGAAAAAAGAGACATTTTTTCAGAGTTCAGAAGAAGAAAAATCTGCAGGTGAACAGGCATCTTTGTTTAACAATTGTGATATCGGTGAGATGGGTTCCTCTCACATTAGATCAGATGCCCTTGAATACCAGTATGTAAAATCACAGATTTTATAACCTCTCCTAATTCGAAATCTCACAGTTATCCAAAAAGCCAAGTGGTGGGAGATTAAATGCAGACCAAAATAGGAAGTTAGAAAAATAATAAAACGGGGGGGGGGGGGGAAACACGGATTGTGCTAATCAGTCTGCAACCCTGTACTTTTTTGTCACCTTTACCTGGGCTTGGAGTTAAGCAGGGTCAGACTTAGCACTTGGATGGGGGACCACCAGGAAATTATAGGGTTGTTGATTAGATTAGAAATTTTAAAAAATAATTTTGGATGTGTGCATGAAGTCCCCAGGAATCAAAAAGAGACTTTGCCTACAAAGATTGTCTCCTTAGAAATAAAAATAGAAGGGTCTTGGTGAATTGAATATTTCTGATTTAACATATAGTATTCCATGTTGTCACAGAATAACATTCAAAATGTTGTTGTTGTTGTTGCTATTTTTATCTCACTTTTCTATCTATCTGTTTATCGGTGGTGAACATACCTAATACAGGTAGTCCTCAAGTTATGACCGTTTGTTCAGTGACCATTTGAAGTTTTGGCGGTGCTGAACAAATGGTAGTTACACCCAGTCCCTGCAATTACAGCAGTTATAGTGCCCCCATAGTCACATGATCAAAATTCGGGCATTTGGCAGCCCACCTGCACTTACGACCACAGGGGCACTCCAACTCCCCCACCCGCCTATCTCCCCCCCATCTCTGCCCTTTTCGCCACCCTGCACTTGCTGGCCCTGCCACCCCCAGCTCACCTTCACTGTCTTCTTCCTGCCACTGCCGACAAGGCACGCCCTGCCTGGCCCTTCACGAGGCAGCTGCTGGCCGTGCCAGGCCTTCTTCCCAAGCCTGCACCTGTCCCTTGTCCAAATTGGGCGCAGCCTTCTTGCAAGGTTTTGGAGGGCTTCTGAGGCTTCAGGCAGGGGTGGCAGGGTGAGCAGAACGCAGGGCGGCAAGGTCAGCAGAGGTGGCAGAGTGCAGGGCGGCCAAAAGGGCAGAGATGGAGGGAAGATAGGTGAGTGGGGGAAGTTGAAGAGAAGACAGTCCCTTACCTTATTGAGGCTCAAGACTGGCAGGGACCAAGCCTGGAATGGCCTGGATTGGGGTGGGTCCTTGGTTAATGACTGGTGAAATCTGCTTAACGACAGTAACAGTGAGTGCCAGGATTTCCGTCACTAAGCAGTGTGGTCATGTGATGTGCTTTATGACCACATTGCTTAGCAATGGAGATTCTGATCCCAATTGCCATAGTAATTCAAGGACTACTGGTACTTCTGCCTCCTATTTTCCCCACAACAACCCTGTGAGGTGGATTGAGTTGAGAGAGAGGGACTGGTCACCCAGATGGTTTTCATGCCTCAGGCAGGACTAGGACAGTCTCCTGCTTTCTAGTCCAGCACCTTCACCACTACACCAAACTGTTCTGCTTTAGGAAGTAAAGGAGCATGAAACATACATGTAGTCCTTGGTTAACTATGGTAATTGGGACCGGAATTTCCATCGCTAAGTGGTCGTAAAGTATGACATCACATGACCAGATTGCTTAGCAATAGCAGTCCTGGCACTCCCTGTTGCCGTCATTAAGTGAGGATCATGGGTCATTAAGTGAGTCCCAGGTGGCTCACCAGCAGGCAGGTATGGCATGGTATGCTGTGTGACTGTGGCAGGGTTGGGGGTGCCTATTGCCAGGAGGGGAAGAGTGCGAACGACTTACTGGAGTGACTTGTGACCTTCCCTGTTGGCTTCCCCATTGACTTTGCTTGTGGGAAAGGAAGGTCACAAATGGCGACCAGGTGACCTGGGATGCTGCAACTGTTGTAAGTGCGAGCCGGTTGCCAAGCACCCAGATTGCAGTCATGTGACTGTGGGGGTGCTTTAAGTCTCCTTTTTCAGCATCATCTTAACTTCGGTCACTGAATGAATGGTTGGTAAGCGAGGACTACCTGTACTGTTGCTCCCTCATTTTCATTATAGGGCCACTAAGGTAGGTGGCATGGTTGTCCATTGGGAGTGCTACTTACCACCCAAATTACAGAACAGTTGGCTAAAGATGTGGTTCTTAAATTGTTTAAACAACAGACTACAAAAAGATTGCTTAGTAGTTCTCTGTGAGAAATATTTTGCCAAATTACATTTTAAAAATCATCCTGTTGGCCAATTTTTCTGTAGGTTAGCTAGCAAATAGCACTCAACCAGACCACCATCCTAGCCACTTTAGTGGTCATATGACAAAAAAATAAGAGTACAAAGTTTCAATCTGTTTCAAGGTCCCATTGCTATTTGTGGTGAAACTTTCTAAACAAGCTCTGAACACCTCATTGTATCTTGCGTACGGAACAAATTCCGAAACAAGTGTTGTGTTCACAGTATGCAAAAGAGCTATGCTGAGCTTTCATACACTCTCTCTGGCCAAAAGATGGGAATGCTAGTTGTCCTCCCTACTGGGGAAAAGCAGTGCATATATTATATTGAGGAGCAAAAAAACAGTTGATTTTCTGACACGCAGGCCTATCTATGCCATGCATGGTATTTCATTTGGTGTCTCTCACTGTTCCAGAAGACGTCTCAAAGAAGGAGGATGGGGGTGAAATGCACAAACAGTTAGAAGGAGCCAGATGCAAAGCCCTGAGAGAAATCACCTGGAATCCAGATGACCCACAGATGCAGGAGGGTGATCAAGCAGGAGAAAAGGATAAATCGGTGTCAGGGCAGGCTGCTGATTTGGATGAAGTTCCAGTGCCTCAGGAAAAGCAGCGGAAGAAGCGGAAAAACAGGTGCCTCGTTGGCATCCCAGAGGAGAGACCAAGTAAAAACTCGACCTTTGGGAAGGGGGTCGCCCTCCATCAAAGACTCCACAGCCGCGAGCTGCCCCATAAATGCTTGGACTGTGGCAAGAGCTTCAGTCACAAAGCGAACCTGACGTCCCACCAGAGGGTCCACCGGTTGGAGAAACTCTACGACTGCTCCAATTGTGGCAAGAGTTTCCTTCGTAAATCCATCTTGGATATGCACCTGAGGATGCACACAGGACAGAAACCATTTAGCTGTTCCGACTGCGGCTTAAGCTTAAGTGCCCATTCGAGCCTCATTAGGCATCAGCGGATCCACACTAGGGAGAAACCTTACAAATGCTCTGAGTGTGAGAAGAGTTTCAGTCAGAACTCGGACCTGATCCGGCATCAGCGACTTCACACGGGGGTGAAACCGTATCAGTGTCCTGAATGCGGGAAGAGCTTCAGCAGGGGCGACTGCCTCGCTACTCATCAGAAAATCCACATGGGGAAAGATCAAGGTGGAAATCAGACAGTGGCAAAAACTTTTGTGATAAATCAAGTCCTGTTCAGCACCTGAGAATTTGCACGGGGGACAAGCCGCAAGTGGTGCTTACAAAACGAGAAGTGACACCCCATCTTTTTCAGAATAAAAGCGACATGATTTTTCAGGAGCGTGTTGGGGGGCCAAGTTCCTAAATTGGCAGGACTGGGACAGAACCTGAATTTGGAATAATTTAAATTTGAATGCAGTCCTTTTTCTCTCATCAGAGAATCCCCCAAGTGAGAAATCACAAGAGCGAACTTTTCTAGAGACAGTGAGTAAGTGTAACTCACACCTCTGCATCTTAATAAAGCTGTATAAATGCTCAGATGGTAATAAAAGCCTTTTCAGATAAATTTTTCACCGTGGTCGTCATAGCCACCAATGCCTATGTATTAGAAGGGTGGGCTGGAAACGTTTATGTAAAAAGAAGAAAGGATAAAAATAGTGAGAAGGAAGACAAATGTTTAGAAACCTTCTGTTATTTTCCCCCAGTCAGTTAAATTATAAAAACAGGAGTGGTTTTGTTTCTTTGTTGGGGGAAGAAGAGGAAAGCAAGCAAGTTCAGACTTCCACTTGCTTGTGAATTACGTATATGATTTTATAAAGGCAATTATGATGATCTAAAGCAGATTTATCTTGTGCTTCACCCAAAAAGCCTCCCAGGACGGCTTAGGTAAAATCAGTAAAACCTACAGGCTAACAATCTTAAACGGTATAACATAAAACAAAACCAAAAAAAAGGAAAAAAAAAACGGGACAGAAAAAAAAAGTCATCTTGAGTACCCATTTCTGATGTTTAGTTGTTTCAGTCAGAACTGAATGGACTGGAATGGACTGGAATATGTTGTTGGATCACCATAAAAAGCAGTCTATTTGCAACATTTTATTGTCACCTCATTTCTTATTTTTTTGTAATAAGTTAGGGGGTGCATCAGGAGACAGCGGACGCTCCTTTGCTGGAGACGTTTCAACACGCCAGACAGCATCTGTTGAGGATGCTGTAATGGTGGATTCCTCTACAGGACAGGGGGTTGACTAGGTGATCTCCAAAATCCCTTCCGATTCATAGTATTTTATGATTCTTCATCAGGAAGAATTTGCTGATGGGAAGAGGCAAAGACTCTTTTTTGCTGGAGGCATTTAAACAAAGGCTGCGATGCTATAGTGGTGGACTCTTGCACTGAACAGAGGGTTGAACTCGATCTTCCAGGTCTCTTTAAATTCTTCTGGTATATGAGTTTATAAATAGCAAAATAAAATAAAATAAAACAGGATGCAGGGAAAGCAGATTTCTGATAGAAAATTTATGGTGGGATGGAGGAGAATGCTCTGTCCCTCTATTTTCTTTGGATTCTGGCTCTTCCCATCTCCCGTTCATGGGTGTGACTAGTAGCCCAATTTGCTGGAGAGGAAATAGTTGCCGCAGAATGGCACGTGGCAAGTTTCCTCATCCTTACTTGGATTGATGCGTGTTGCATACATGTTGGAGTTAAGCAGGTTGTCCCACTTCCTAGCCCAGATGGAAGATCAGCTTTGTGAAATGCTCCCCAATGTTTCAAATGCCTCGCAAGTAGAAAGTTAGCCCAGCAAGGAGTGCACTGAATATTTAATTTTAATGAGCAAGCTTTTTTTTTCCCCAAAAAAACTTGTGAGGAGTATAAGGGAGGCCCTGAAAAATGAAATCCCAGGGCTTTAACTTCCAGTCTTCTTGGTCATTTCTTTGGTTCCCAATCTTTGGGCTGTGAGTGCCCTTCCTGTGGTTGCCAAAATGGTTCCACCCTTGTGAAGAGGGCATTAGCAGTTTGAAGGGGACCTCACGGTTTGAAGAAGGTCAGAAAAACTTGAGAAACCATTACAAACCAAACAAGGTGGGGAAAAACAGCTGCCATGGATTGTTGAATGATGACTGAAAGGAGTGAAAAAAATGGAAAATTAGGGGCTGAGGAAGGGAGGAAGGAAGGAAGGAAGGATTCGTTCTAAAATCATTAACCTGGAGCACATCACTGTGCACCATACTTCAATTTCAGGTTTTGTTCACATACAGGGACTGGATTTAAACACTCCACTAAGTCCTGAAATGGTTTCTTTGGATACAACTTAGGGTGATGTGTGAACCTGGCCAGATGTGTTTTATTTAGTCAGTCATGGTTAAGCAAACCCTGGGATGTGAGAACACAGTCACTATATAATATGATTTATAAGGGCTCGCTCCTGCTATACTTTGGGGGGGTCTGATGCTCAGTTTTTCCCCCACCCTAGTTTTCGGCAGCCAAGACTGCAGTGAAAGGTGTACACGAAGCTTGTGTATCGGGTTGAATCCCAAGCATTTTTTTTCTATTTTAAAGGGTGAGGTACCAGCTGATGGGAAAGATTCCCCCCAGCCCCCAGCTGACACCCCAGAAGTCATAGCAGACTCTGCAGACTACGAAGGAGAACAGGTTGGGGTCTGCCCTGAGTCAGCTGCCAGCGTTCCCTAAAATGAACCTCTGAGCTCAAGCAGTGCTTCTGATCGCACCACGAAGCAGAGTCAGCCCCTTGACGCATCTGTTAGGATATGCAATTTCTGGTCTTAATGTCCCTCCCCCTCAGCAGATTTTTCCCAGCCCAACCCAGAGTCCTCCAAATGTGTTGGACTACAATAGCAATAATCCCCAGGCAGCATAGTAGTTCCCATCTTGGAAATCTAAAGCAGTATTTCTCAACCTCAGCAACTTTAAGATGTGTGGACTTCAACTCCCAGAATTCCCTAGCCAG